ACTTCACCGCATTGAGGGGCAAATGGACGGGGCCATGTACTGTAAAATCTTGGACGAGAACCTCCTTCCCTCAGCCAGAACACTGAAGATGGGTCATGGATGGGTCTTCCAGCATGACATTGACCCAAAACATACCACCAAGGCAACAAAGTAGTTGCTCAAGAAGAAGCACGTTAAGGTCATGGAGTGGCCTAGCCAGGCTCCAGACCTCAATCCTATAGAAAATCTGTGGAGGGAGCTGAAACTTCGAATTGCCAAACAAAAGCCAAGAAACCTTAAGGATTTAGAGAGGATCTGTAACGAGGAGTGGACCAAAATCTCTCCTGAGATGTGTGCACACCTGGTGACCAACTACAAACAAAAAAAATTTCTAAATTACAGACCCTTCATTTCTTTGTAAGTGGGCAAACTTACAAAATCAGCAGGGGATCAAATAAATATTTCCCCACTGTAAACTGCACATATTTTCTTAAAATAACTTCTATTTTATAAAATTAATAATAATATAATATAATAATATTTACAAAATAATTATAAAATTTATATTTGTTGTTGAAATATATTAATTTAGCGAATGACGAGCTGTGGACACTGATGACTTGCCTGAGGTAAATGAAATGCTGCATGACATTTTATTTCCACTCCGTTTTATTTACGTCTTTCCACGGTTGAACACTGATTGAATGATAACATGAGGCATGAAATATTCATTCATTTTTATTTCATTCATTTTTTTCATCTCTTCAAAAAAAATTATCATTGATATAAAAAAAAAAAAAATTTGGGGCATATATGGTTCTATGAACCTGTAACATCCACAGAACCTTTCCATTGCACAAAAGGCTCTTTTCAGTGGAAAAGATTGTTCAGATTATTAAAAAGTTTTTCACACTAAGAAAAAAAGTGGTTCTTTTAAGACCTGTTCACTAAAAGGTTTTTGGGGAACCCAAAAAACAGTTATTCTATTGCACTGCTGCCGAAAACCCCAATTTGGAACCTTTATAATTAAGAGTGTATTGTGTAAGGCCAGCCAAAACTGAAGCTTGTCGTTTTGACCAAGCCCTAGCCACTTCTGCATGCAATTTGCATCAGACGGTCAATGGGGTGTTCCGTCTGAAGCAGAAACAACTGTGATGTCAGCTAAGAACCGCTTCTGAAGTTTAAAAAGTTGCTGATGCATCGATAAACAACATGTTTTTAAAGAAACTAAAACACACAACAGCTGTTGATAATCACAGGCCATCAGTTCTGAAACACAAATTTCAATTGAACCTTGAAAGTTCAAGGGAATCAGATGAACTCCAGCAAGAACTTCTTCAAGCAGCTGAGAATATAAATGTATCCACCAGCAAAAAGTGATGAGACGAAAAAACCCAAATGCTGCATAAGCAGGTTGAAGCAGAGGGCTAAAATTGGGCCCATTCACTGGAGGGCTCAACTTTTGCCAATCGTTGGCAGCTGACCAGCCAGAAAACAGGAGTGCAGCTAAAGAACAGCTACACAAACTTTAGTTTATCACGCCTGACTTTTTCCTTCGGAGCGATACTTTCTTACAGCGCTGCAGACCAGGGGTTGTCGGCAACACAAGCTGTAGCTCCCAAATTCTCTTCTTAATGGCAGATCTTCCCTTGCTAATAAAGGAATAATGAGGGAGTCTGTATGGTGTTTGGTCCCCTGTGGAAGAGAAGCTCTCAGCACTCACAGTAAACACATTCTGTTCAGACTAGAGCTGATCAGTTTGATGTCTGTCTCCATGCAGATGGTTCCATTCTTAAACAATGCAGGCCAGCGTGGTTAATTGCTACTGAGACGACCGGAGGTGCGGTTACATGAGCATTTCTGCTGCAGGTGAGTGTGTGTTTTTGTGTGACAGGACTGACTGATGAGCGAGCGAGTGAGCGTCCTTGACTCGCGGCAGGCGAATAATGCCTATAAGGGCTGGGGGAGGTTCGTTATCAGACATATCCCCCCACCCCATGCACACATATTCACGCACACACTCGTGCGCACACTTACACACACTCTGTGAGGACAGTGTAGCAGTCTTACCCCTTCCCGAAGGCACCTCATTAACACGGTGTAGGCGGCAGCAGGAACGACCCACAATCCTCCTGGGCGCTCTTTCTTCTCTTCCTGCAGGGGAAGGAAAGAGAGTATGTGTGTGTGTGTGAGAGTGAGCGAGAAAGAGAGAACTATTACTGAGACTCATTGGGCGAACAATTAAAAGCAGCAAAATGCAGCCACCATCATAATGAGGCTAAATAAATAAAGTCCCGTGACGGTAAATATGACGACAGGCTCGCTGGCTCAGGCAGGTACAGGAAACACAGCTCAAGTTATAAGCAATGATCATGTCAATTAGAGGAAAAAGCGGGGAACGCTGCGAAGCAGCATCCTCCTCTCATTTAACTTCTAATACTTGCGTTCAGCACAGCGCTGAGACTGATCCTCAACATCAACAGCAGATCGTGAGCAAGACCTTTGTACAAGTCAAGGTCTGATTTGGATTTCTGTTTATATGTAGCTGCATTATGCAACGTGCAGTAGGCCGTTATAAATTCAAAATGATTTTTTTTAACAAACAAAAAAAGCGTTTTTTTTTGTTAACTGATGATTACTTTTAATAAAGATAGAAATTGTATTATGACAAATTGGCCTTGAAAATCCTCTAAGTAAAAAAATAAAATACATGTGCAATATGTTTTAAAATTCAAAACAGTGATTCTAATGTATTAATGCATCACTATCACAAATTAACTGAAAGTTAATATTAATAATTACAATGGAGCAAAATGTCTGCACAGTAAAATTAATATGAGCACGAAAGTAAAACTGTCAAAGAGTTTATGTATTTTAATTTTGTATCTTCAAGCTTGATTAATCTACTTTTTTTTAAGAATGATTTATCATTTTGCATTTTAAACTATATTTATATCAAATTTATACATGAAGTCAAAGCTACATTTTACCATATCTGGTATGTTGTTGCATTTTATGCAATAAAGCATTTTATGGTCAATTGAGCAATTCTGAGGATTTAATTCATTTTTAGTTTAGGTTTTTCCCAGATTAGAAGCACCTCTTGCAATAAGCTGATACCCATGAGTGAGTACCTCAGTGGGCAAACTGTTCTTACAGAGAACTTCCCAAACTTTTTCTAGGGCCATTAAAATTGATTATCATGGGATAGCATCTGAAAAAGGGGAAAACTCCACCCCCCAGTGGCTGATAAAATAATTTTGGAAGTAGGAATAATTCTGTGAAAACTAGCACCATCTTATTGGTTTCTCTTTGCATGCTGTACACTATGTACAGGTTAATACAAAAATAATTAACCTTGACTTCTGATAAATCTGAAAAATGCATTTGTTTGTTTGTTTGATAATGATGTAAGCCAAACCCTTAAATGTATAATTTATGTTGCATTAGACAATAAAATATCTAATCATGTAGGGCTGTAAACACTGAAGTCACTGAGCTATGACAGTGATGGGCCCACCCACTTTCAACTGTGGCCCACCCAATAAGAAGATAATTTTCCAAATGGATCTAATTTATTAAATAATAATAATAATAATAATAATAATAATAATAATAATAATAATAATATTAAACATATTATTTCACTATAATGTTTTATATTTAGTTTAAAAATATATATTAAACACAAGTTCACATGGTCAATTACAGGCAGTTTCTTAATTGTCCCTCTTCCTATAGGTGCATACGCTTGTCAAAATGATGATTTGTCAGTTTTTGTAATTCCCACCTACAATGTTATGTTTACGACGTAAGACATAATAGCAAAATGTGCGCGTTTGTGGAGTTGAATTTTGAAAATAGTGAAACAAAGACCAATCAGTCAGTTCTTTAAAAAGTATATATTCGGTATCCCAATTGAAACTAAGTCTTAGCAATGAATCCGGACCGTCTACAAATGAAACCAGACCAACCTGCATTAAACTTTAGAGCCAAGCATGTTTGAAGCATCATATTAGCATTGGTACAATGTCTGATCCGCTAAAAAGATGCGTTCTTTGTGGAAAGAAACACATAAACATTGTGATAGATACTGTTCTCCACAACAAACTACATATTTGCAGCAGCGCGCATTTCTACGGTCCTCGATGTTTACTCTTCTGTGAACGCGAAAAGAGACTTGATTATCATCTGCGAAGCCCGTTGTCTCAGACTGAGATAATGCTTTACAATAAACTTCTTTTAGTTAACATTAATGCATTAACTAACATTAACAATGACCAATACATTTGTTACAATATTTATTAATCTTTGTTAAAAATACAACTGTTCATTGTTTTGTTAGCTCACGAATGTTAACAGATACAACTTTTAATTTTAATAATGTATTAGTAAATGTTGAAATGACCATTAATGTTAATCAGTGCTTTATAAGTACAGTATTGTGTATTAAACCTTTGTGCTGTATTTTCTGTTGGCAATTTAACATGCAGTTTTCATACGCTACACTTTATTAGGACCAGTTGGTTAACAGTAATTGCAAAAGTGGCTCAGAAAAAAAAAAAAAAAAAAACGAGTTCAAAGAAAATAATCACTTGTTTGCAGATAGCACTTGGTTTTTATTGTGGCTAATTTATCGTCAGTTTTTGACTATATTATTTATAGCTATGCACACTATACACTAACATTTCTGAAATGGAATACTGGAAACTGAGGGTGAACAATGTTAAAGAACAAATATACTATAGTTGTAGGGCTGGGCGATATGGCCAAAAAATGATCACTATCATTTTTTTTTCATATCAGTCCATATCGATAATTATCACGATACATTTTTTATTTAATTTACTATTTTTTATTTCTTTCAAGTTTAAAGGCAGATTTTTGCTCCTATGTGAAAGTTGTAAAAACCAGATGGTTAACTGTGGTTTTAAATTATTATTTATGGTCAGAACATGACAAACGCTTTGTTTTTGAATTATGTATACTTTTCCAGTCATTTTTTCCTTAACTTAATAGAAAAAAAAAACAATTCTTAGTTCTGCATGTTCTAATGAGTAATATCGTTTAAAATCTAGAAACAGGTTTGTGTTGCCTGACAATATTAATAATAGTTTTTGTTTTTTTTGCTCTCTTAGAAATACACGTTTGATAGTAGCTTGAGTTTGGATGCAGATTTATGTTCATTATCAAAATCAGTTATATCTGTAAAAATTGTAGCAATCTCATTTTTATATGGTGACATTTAATTATTTTTACTGTTTTTTTTTTTTTTTACAATTGGCCTTCCATAGTAGCATGCATTTAGATCATTACAATCACAGTTAAAACCACAAAGATAGCACCTCAATACCATGGTAAAAATGTAATATGTAATAATGTAATATTAGTACAAACGCATAAACCCTATAGCTTAAATCACGAAAAAAAAAACTGCAATTATATTCCATTACTCCTCCTTCAATACATTTAATACGTCTACATTAATATAATAAAATTCGACACGAATACCCACATTTCTGACACAATACCATATTGCAGTTAGTGGTACTACAGTAAATCTATGGTAAATTATGGCGATTTGTAGATTAAAAAGTCTTCTGACTGTATCGCTGCACACAGTGTTTCTCCTGTTTGTCAGCGCTGTTTCATCTGGCTGTAAACAGAGATATTTGTGTTCTTCACTGAATGCAAGCGCTTCACACTCGATCTCACATCGCTGTTTAGTGTCGCGTGATCGAGACTCATCTGCGAGTAACGCATCTGCTCTAGTGAAGCTCGCGCCACGCCGCTGTTTGAACTTTGAGCAGAGCCGATAAACGCTCCGAGAAACGCTTAAAATTACTAGCGCTCTTTCCTTCCGCCTTTACCTCATAAACATTATATTGAACATTTATCAAACTCTTGTTATCGTTTATCGAGGATATTTATATCGCGCGATAATTATCATTATCGATTTATCGCCCAGCCCTATATAGTTGTGTTTTACTGAATGACAGAGTGAAGAACAATGAAAGCTAGTGTGTGTGCGCTTCCGTGGCTTATCTTGTATCACTCCCATTCATTATGTCGCAGAAAGCACAGCCACAGTTTTCCACCTGGACCGTTATTGACATTCATAGCGTCAACACACCTATTGCTCGCATTACACTAGAACTGAGGAGTGGAGAAAAGTCATTAGATAAAGCCAATCAAGGACACAGCGTCCCTCACCCTCCCCCTGCGCTCAGAGCTAATGTGATCAATAAAAGCTGTGTGTGCTGTTGTACTGCGTGACCCTGAAAAACACAACCCTACAGGAGATACACACTTATATAAGCCCAACAAAACATGTTATCTGCTAACCTCGGGTCCCTTACAGCGATCGATACAGCGATCAGATTAGGGTGACCAGACGTCTACAACACAGGACAAATTTTGGTCAAAGGAGTCTAAAAAACAGGCCATCTCATCACACCGGTTGTAATGAGGTAAAATGGTGCTGTGATGAGCCATTTATGGACTCCAGAGGCTGTGCTTCATTACACCTTTGGACCTCATTCACAGGCTGCTGTACGATGTGCGATGCTGAAAATCCCCCAACAAAGTGTTGCAGTGTTACCGTGACAGACAGTAGATGTAACATGAGTAAATGCAAATAAAGAGTGTACGGTTTTTAGCAGTGATCTTTAGAGTATTAAAATTCTTTCAAAGGTTACACCAGACTGCATCGGTTATGAGGTGGTCCTCATGTTGAGGTTAATGAGGTCTGAGAGGTTGTGTGAATCTCTCCTCATAAGGGAGCTTTTTATATGTCACGGAATACTCCGAGGACAAATATTGCCTGTAAGACATTTATGAGAAGCAAATTGAGCTGTATGAAATTTCAGGCCATTGAACATACTGATCTGTTCTTGAGATCGCAATCCGGTGGCTAGTCCCCCTAGAAGCCAAAGTGGAAGCTGTGCACTGATCAATAATTACGTCAATATAACAGACAGTCTGCTTTATTTTTACGCCACCCCAATTTCAATCCGTCACTAATTGGACTCATGTGTATATTGATATGATATGCTAGTTATACTGTAGGTGATTCTTTAATTAGAGGAACTCTTGTGTCCCCTAGGATAATTTTGAGGGGATTTTATAAGCAATAACAGATTTTAAATAACAGA